GGAATGCTTGCGCACTGACAGAGGGGTCATAAATAGGTATTTTTACTTTACGATACACCAAAACTCGGGGAAGTTTGAAATACCAAGCCCTACCTACAACTCAGCATCCCGCACGAAGGTGCGTGTTTGAAGAAAACATTTGTGTAACGGATGTAGGAAGTGATAATAAGCGGCCACTGAGGTCACGAACAGAGAGACAAGGCGACACTGCGTGTCTCCTGATAGAAAACATCACCCCAATGAGAGTTATGTTTTCAGCAAAATTAAACCTGAATCCAAGCCCCTAGATCCAGATGCCAATTTAAGGAAACACAGAGAACAGGGAGGGAGCAGGTGACACAGCGCTGTAGAGATGCAATCGGCAAATTTCAGGGGGTGAAGCGACCCAATAAATAAGTTATAAGAAAAGGAGAGATGAAAGAGGGCTCTGTAGATGGAAAGAGACCCAAGAGAGTAGTTACATTCATAGAGACAGAGAGGAGATTGGTGGTTTCCAGGGCTGGGGGGCTGGAGAATGGGGAGCTAGTGCTGACTGGGGGGCAGAACTTCAGTTGGGAGAAGATGGGAAAAGTTCTGGAGATGGATGGTGGAGATGGTTACACAGCACTGTGAATGCACTTCACGCCACAGAACTACACACTTAAAAATGGCTAGAATGGTAAATTTTACGTTATGTGTCTTTTGCTACAATTTGAAACAATTATTTAAAGAGAATAAAGAAACATAGGAGGCATAACCAATTTAACACATGAACCTCATGTGGACCCTGATTCATAAAAACTATAAAAATGATGAGACGATGAGAAAGTTGAACACTGGTATTTGAGGGTATAAAGGAATTATGGGTAACGGAAGGGGTGACAGTGATAGCGTATTTATGTTTCCTTACTTTTTAAATATATACTGAGATGTCTACAGATGAAATAACAATCAGTATTTGAGTCAAAATGACAAAGAAGAGGAAAGTGGGTGTAGGCAATCTCGAACGAGATTGACCAGAACTGATGATAATTCAACTTGACAATGGATATGAGATGCATTACACTAATCTGCCTACCTCTGGCATTTAACATTTGACAAAATAAAAAAGCTTTTAAATGAAGAAAGAACTATTATAAATGTGTTCAAAAGGACAAGATGCTCTCAGCACCATGGTTTGCAACAGCAAAATACTGGCAACAATCTAAGTGCCCAGGAACACACAACTGGATTAAAATATTACGGTGTTTCACTCAACAGAGAACTAAAGAGTCGAGAAACTGAATGAGTTAGATCAGCGGTCCTCAACCAGCAGTGATTTTGCCCCCAGGGGACATCAGGCCACTGGTGGAGACATCTCTGGCTGCCATGACTGGGTGGGGTGCTACTGGCTGGCCTCTAGTGGGTAGAGATCAGGGACGCTGCTAAACATACTGCAATGCACAGGACAGTCCCCTAACAAATAATTATACAACCCAAATTATCAAGAGTGCCACAGTCTAAAATCTCTATATTAGATCTACATGGGAGAGTCCTCTCTCAAATCATAATACTGAATTAAAAACAAACAAAAACTAGGGGCAAAGAGATATGTATAAGCAATACCATGTAGGTAAAAGTTACACAAAACCAAGACTGTTCACTGCTCACAGACGTTTACCTATGTAGTATCCTATCAAAATAAGGAAGGGAAGGCTATGTGTCAGCTGCAGAATACTGATAACGGTGGGGGAGCGAAGGGGGCTTCGACAGAACGTGTAGCATTATTTTATACATTCCATCCCTCTCACCTAAAGAAAAGCCAGTGTGGTTAAGGTTTATGTGCATACCATCTGGATGGTGGGTACGTGGGTGCCCGTTCTTCTGCTCTCTGTACTTTTCTATACCCTTGACGTTGCTGACAATGAACTAAACAGAGGGGCTGTGGGCAGCAGAGGCTGGGTGGACAGACGGACAGTGGGCAGCATGGCAAGGCTGAGACCTGCCAGGGGGGAACACTCACCGGCCCCCGGAGGTCGATAAGCTCCTGCCTCATCTGGGACACGAGGGCTTCCTTGGCCACCAGGGCCCTGTGCAGGCGCTCGTTGAACTCGATCAGCTCACCATGCATCTCCGCCACCTGGAACACAGGAGCACCGAACAGTGAGGCTCAGAGGGCAGACCCGGCTGGAGACGTTACACACTGCTCGCCTCCAAGTCACGCAAACCCGTAAGTGGACTTCGTTTTTGGCTGGGTTGATTTTAACACTGTGGAATCAACAGTCCAGTTTAAGTCAAGTCAGAACATGACCTGCGACGGGTCCTTTTTGCACTTTAAGATTTTATTCTTAATTAATGAAAACTTTTCTAGCAAAGATTTTCTTTCTACCCTGAGTTATGCCTGTGGAGAACTTCCTTGCTAACGGCACAATGAGAAGAACTGATCATTTCTGTTCATCGGAGCCTTGGTTCTGAAAACCGAGGAAACAGAACCAGAGACTATTCTTTAGCCGCCAATAATCCCAAGCCAGGGCAAGTCGTCTTGTGCTCCCCTTGTGTCTTCCTTACGCTAGCTCTGTGAGGCAGGTATTATTATACCTGCCTTACAGGAACAGAAACAATGTCAAGCTTTTTGGCGCTAGTTCAAGGTCACATAGCTAATAAAGGCCTGGCTCTTGACCACAAGGCTACCTGCCGCAATCCTACCACTCCACCATGGCTGGATGCAACCCACCCAGGCCTGCCGTGAGCCCTCAAATTTTTCCCCATTCATGCAATACTCTTGGCTGATCCTAAATAAAAATGGAGGTGACCATAAGGTAGTCTGGGACTGATGTACAGGATAAACAACAGAACTTTTAACTTACAAAAAGCACAAAGATATCCTATGTGGTCAAGGCATTTGTGATGTTCTATAAAATGAATAAATAACATCAGCCATTTGCAATAAGTATGTGAAATATAAAATGTACTCTCAGAATTAAAAAGGGCTACAGGGAGAAGCTTTATAAAATAAAAGGGAGGGTTGTTAACCTGAGTCTTGATGCCTCAGGAGGAATAAAGGGGAGCACCCTCCCTTTTTTGAACGTGTTGTTACACAAAGGATAAAAGACACTAAAGGAAATATACAAAAATATTAACATGAGTCAAAGTCCATTCTTTCTACTTTTTCTTGCTTTTTAGTTTCCTAATAATGAGTACTCTTTTATCAGCCAGGATAACCTAGTCTCTTTAAAAGATTTAAAAACCTTCACTTAAAACTGAAGAGAGCCACTGTGCAACCACAGCAACTGTACCACAGGCTCCCCACTGGACTCCCGAGAGTCCACTGACTTGCTCCGTGCAGCCCCACTCTGTGCATGGCGTCCCCTCTGTCCCTCAGGTGCCCACCTTTCAAATCGGTGTGAAATGCAAAGTGAAAATGGCACAAAAGACATTGCGAGAACCATGCAATTAACAAAGTGAGAACAAGTCACTGAGCCTTTAAACAGCTTTTTCCATTGTCCACCTCAAGTTAATATTCCCCAGTTGCCTTATTCCTTTTGTATAAAAATAGCTTAAGATGATTTTCTTTCAGCCTTTCACAAACATATACAATATCGCTAATAACACCTATGTGGATTCTCTACTCGGTAATCACATAAACCCTCCAAGAGCTTCCTCGGGGTCAAGAATCCAGTTACTGCAGTTAGCCGGAAACACGCGACTGGCAATATTACTGCTAAATACCCACTACCATGCCCCCACGAAATGCGAGTTTTAAATAAATGCCACTGTCATTTCCAAAGCAAAGCAGGCTTTTGCTTTGTTTTCATTTTTATTTTGTTTTGCAGCGGGAGCCAGTGTTAAAACAATTTTCCGTAAATGCATAAGACATCAAAACATCCCAGCTTCAAGTGGTGTTTTATCGTGAGCTGTCAAAACCCTGCTTCTCTTTCATAACCAGAAGACACTTGACCACATCAGACAAAGCTTTCATTTCATGAGGGAATAGGGGAAAAAAATCCAACGGAATTTAGACAAAATTTGAGGAAATAATCTCCAGCAGCCATTAAAATCGCGGTGTTCATTGTTAATAAGCTAAGCTCTGAAATTCTGAATTTTTTTTTAATTATATATCCCTATACATGGCCACTGGGAAACAGCCTTCATCTTACATAAACCACACTGAGCTTACTGCTCCTCAAATAATTCTTTCCAAACTCCAGTATAACTAGAAATGAATTCAAAACTCAGAGTGAGTCTCAGAAGAGGAATCTGAGATCACAAATAGTTGCCATTATCATAAAAAAAGCAGGCAACACAACTACTGCCTGCTGGAATTTCTATTAGGCGCTGAGGGCACTTAGAGATCTCATCTGACCTGTATTCCTTATTTATAACAGCTACAGAGAATCGCAGGGAATAGGACAGAGAGAGAATAGATGGCCTCCAGTCCATTCTCCACCAAGAAAACGACACCAGATATTGTCACTTGCTGTTTAAAACCTTTAAGGCTTCCCAGTGTCCTAAGGATAGAATACAAATGCCTTCAAGATCTGGTGCCAGCCTCTCTCACCTTATCTCCTGGCCCCTCCGTCTTGGTGTCTAACTTCCACTCGGCTCCACAGGTCTTCTGTGTGTCACCCAGTAGACAGAGGAGAAAGGCACACCCAGCAGAGGAAACTGTGGGTACAAAGGCCCAGAGGCTGACAGTGGGGGCCGCTGAGAGAGGCAGTTAAGGGTTCAGACTGAGGGACAAGCCAGGCCTGGCTTGATCGCTTACCAACAGCGTGGGCTAGCCTAGGTCATTTCACCTCTACGAGCCTAGGGCTATTCACCTACAAAATGAGACTTAAAAACCATCCCCACCGCACTGGGCCACTGTGGCTGAAACGAGCCGCTGCTCTTAGCGGGCCCGGCACCACGTCTGGGCCTGGCAAACACTCAGCGAACGAGAGCCGGTTTTACAGGATGGGGGATCACATACAGGGAAACGCAGGAGGAGGGGGCCAGGCAGGTCTCCAGAAGCCAGATGGAACAGGGCCGTATGTGCCTTACCAAGGAGCTCACTGTTTCCAAAGTAGAAATGTCAGCAGCAGAAGTGCTAGCCATCTGCCAGGCGCTATTCTAGGTGTTGGGGGCAGGAAAGTCATGGGGTTCACTTCTTAAAGGTCATTTTATTTAGAGCTCAGAGAGAGAGGAGGAGCCGAAAGGAGGACGGGGTAGAGGGAAGGCCGCCCCCAGAGAAAACGCCGAGGAGGCACTTCTATAATCTGCCTTGGCACGTGCCAGGCAGCCCCCGCGGCCGATCCAGGCCCTACATCACCGCACAGGCTCTGTCATCTCGCACCACCAATGCTCAGGGCCACTTTGAGAGTCAGCCGTATTTCTTTCTACTCTTGGCAGTTTTATTTCCTTAAAAATTAATCTGAAGGCAGTTAAGGAGGAGGTGCCATTTGACAACACTAACGACAGTGACAAATCAAAAGCAAATGCCAAGTGGAGATTTGCTAACCACAGCCCATGCAGCTTCAAACACATTCTCAATCTTTTGATCTAACGTGAGCCAAAGGATTGAACATGGAGCCTTGATGCTCTGGGAGGCCCAGGGAGAACACCTGGTTGCTAGAGGACGTGGTTCCCAAACTGTGCTTGGAGAGTACACAGTTCATGATTATTAAGGTGAAAACGCTTATCAGTCGCCATTTGGATTACATCCATTACGCTGGAGAGAAGACGGTAGAGAGATTTAGGAAGTTTAAGTCACAAGGCTGTTGGCGGCATCTATCAAACTTTTTAAATCACTCATCTGTGACTTGGCCGACCCCTGCTGGGGAGTCATCCTGACCCACGACTTACACATGTGCTCAGTGCACAGGTTTAGCTCCAAATGGCTGGAATTCAGCTAAATACTCAACCACTGGGGACCGGTGAGAGATCAAGTTCAGCTCCTCTCTCCTGAGGCCTGACCCTTGGCAGACATCACTAGTCAACCGCTGCACCCCTTCCTCAAGAAGACAGCAGGCAGCCGTAATCCACTGTTTTAGCTTACGGGATGACACCTATTTGGTATCCCTGCCATAAAGGATGGGGGAAATCGTCATCAAGGAGGTGACATTTGAGTTGGGTTTTGGAAGATGATGCCTTTGGAGCTTCAGGAGACTGAGCAATCCATTCCAGCTGGATCATCAGGGAAGATGATATCCAGAAATAATGTGGCTGTGAAAAAGCTTTTAAGTCTGTGAAAATCCCAGAAATTATCATAATTACCTGCCAAATCATGAAAGGATTATAAATTTTAAAAAAGTGCCTCTGGCATTTCCCTTTATATCAGAATGTTCTATCTAATCACATTCAAGTAAATCATGCTTCGCCCTCCTTGGTCTCCCTAATTAGACACTTCCAGATCAATTAGATCAAGATACCCCACCCCCAAATTTTAACAGCAACCAAAGATCTTTGGGTCATGTACCCAAACTCCCCGAGAACGTTCACTTAGATGCCTCGGAATCTACATGAGTCTGATAAAATCCACAAGCTGTTTTTGGTCTCGCTTACACTGGCTGTGGGGGCGGGACCTGGAACCCCCTTCTGTGGTAACAGCACTGTACCTGCCTCGGGAAAGACCAAGAGCTCACCGATGCTCATGTGCCTTAACATACCTTTGAGCATCAACTACATGCCAGGCCTTTTCCAGGCATCACGCCTGTCAGCTCAGGTGACCCTCACAGCCCTCCTGCAAGGTGGGCCTGCCTCCCAAAAAAAGGCCTCAGGGCTCGGAGAGCCAAGAAGCGGCAGGGCGGGGACGGCCCCCCATTGTCTGTGCTCTTTGCACTCCATCTTGGGGTGTGGTAGATAGCTGAGGCCTTCGGGGGTTCAGGAGATGAGTTCATCCCGCAGAGCAGAGGGAAGTAGAGCGGTGTGGACAGTGGCCCCCGAAGACAGCTGATCATTACTCATTTGGGGGGCATCTGAGAAATGCAGGTTTCTGGGCCTCACTCCCAGAAACTCTGACTCAACGAGAAGGGAGTCCAAAACAATACTTTTTAAAGGTCCCATAATTGTGACGATCAATCAGATCTGGGGACCGCTGGCAAAGACGAAGGAGGAGGACTTCTCACACTTAGGTCTGGACTGCGCTGGGCCCTTTGTAAAACA